CCTATGTGGGATTTATGAACCCAATTCTATGATTTTATGCAAGTTTTAATTCCGGATTATTTCTTCTACTTGTTTTATTAAGTTCATGAAACTGGCCACTTTATGCGCTTTTATGTTATTGTTAATCGCATGAATCGGAAGATCGGGTTAATAATTAGAACTGTGGTAGAAGAGCCTTTGTGGTATTAACATAGGAATATAGTTAATCTCTTAGGTAGCCATTATTGAGATTTGTGCTTAATGCTTTGTTCTAGAATTAATTGCATAGGAATATAGTAATTGAATCTAGAGTATTAGAATTGTAATACACGCGGAAGCGGGTTATGATTATTTTAGCATCTCAGGTTAATAATCCGGGTTAATTGCTTGCATAATTGAAGGAATTGAGGGAGTAATAATCACATAGGGGGAAGAATAAAATCCTAGGCTTGTCTACTTTGATTAATCTTCGTATTTTAATTTGCTTTCTTGTTTTTGCTTGCTTTTTAATTTAGTTTAATTTAGTTTATTCTCTCAAAACTCGACTGTGTAGGGTGGGCTTGATATTAATTGGTAGAATTTAGCGTCTAGGATTAGATAATTAAATATTCCCTGTGGGTTCGATATCCGGACTTTTAGTCCACTATATTACTTGTACGATACGTGCACTTGCGTGTAGGTTTTCGACCAACAGTGAGCTTATTGGTGAAAGAGATATAACCCCTGAACCTAGTATAATAAAGATGCTTGATTAGAAACCTATGCACAAAACCACTTCTTTTAATACTAATGTTTCAATATTAACTATAAAAGGATGTTTTTTTGATATATATTATAAAAGAATTCACATAAAAAAGAAATTATTTACTATATGGTTCTTTCTTCTTATTCTCAATAGATATGTGCTAAAACTAAAAGAATAAAAATAAATATTCAGTATCCATACTTTTTTTTAATTTATCAAATTGTGTGATATTTAATCAAAATTTTACTGATTTCTATTACAATTTATTATATAATACTCATAATAATTAAGACATTTTTGTGAAAAAAGGTATAACTTATTTTGGATTATTGATGATAAAATTTAGGAGAAGATGACACACTAAGTTTTAATTTCACTCCGGTTTTAATTTCCAAAATTTTCAATTATTTTTCGACAATTACACTTGTAATATCCATCCATAATATTATCTATTTTATATTATACGTAACTGAAAATAAGGGACTTTCAAATTTCGCCTTTTTCAATCCGATTTTTTTTTACGATTTTGGAACAAGTTTTTTTTATTGATGTACTTCACTCGTGAGTTGGGAGGAGGTCAGTTTCAAAATGAGAAAATAATAATATATAAACGATTCTCTTTTTATAACAACTCCAATTCAAGTAAAACAAAATGATACAAAAAAAAAAAAAAAAAACTTTACCTCTTAATTCAAAGTTGTAACACATGAAATTCAATTAAATATTACTGTAGCGCCCCGCCCCGAGTAGCAAACACCTCGTGGCGGAACATCACTCAACATGCAGTACATTCAATGACCCCAAATATGCTCCTCAAAATTTCGATAATCAAAACATTAGACCCCAATATCTATACCATCGTGTTTACAAAAGGGGATTCTATTACAAGTCGACTTCGACACTACTTACTCTATTACAAAATTCTCGATCAAAGGATCCTATACGGAACATTATTAGAGATACCTCTCGGCGAGACTAGTCAAAGGCATACACGAGCTTTAACACTTGGTATGAAAATTTAGGTATAGATCTTTCTTTTACCTGCACATTAATATGCGCATTAATATCAGAAAGGAGAAACGAATAAGTCCGAATGACTTAGTGAAAAACATATGATCCATGAGTATGATGAGAATCAACAGAACAGAACATATAACGAGAGACTTTACAAGAATTTCATTAACAGAAGTGTAACATGTACAAGAGTGTAACATGTACGGCTTGAGTTCAATATTTGGTGGGGTCTCCAACCTTGTAACTCCCAACAAATAAAATCATATCACATCCTTATCCCTCCACTCCGTCCCGAGTGGCCACTCGGTCGGAAACAAGCAAGAGGCACGACCGGAACGTGCCGATCCGGCTCAGGAACGTTTAACTCCAAACGAACGTGAGTCCGAACTATCAGGAGGTACCATTCGGGAGACCAGTCATCGTCAGCCCAATACTGCCCGATCGTCTTGCCGAAATGGTCCTAGGGCCCAGCTCCCCCAAGAGCGTCCTCAAGGGTGGGGACAGTAGGTTCAAGAATCAATATCATTCCTTTTAGGAATATCAAGTCATTCATTTCAAGGATCAATTCAAGAATCAAGTCAATCATTTACAAGATAAGTCACGATCATGATAATTGAATATCAAGTCTCAAGATAAAGTCGTAGGATAAAGTCGTCTCAGGATAATGAACATGTTCAGATTTCAATTCAAGCCAATGAAAGAATTGTCGTGAATATGGAATTCAAGAAGAGCAATAAGTCTTATGTCAGGTTCCAAGAACGAGTATATCAAGATCTCAATGAATTCAATAAACATGAGATTCAAGTTCGAGCCAACAAAATATTTATTCTCGGAAAGCATTCAAGACAAGATTTTGAGAATAAATATAGTTCAATATCGATTCAAGGAAAATGTTCAGGCCAAGGAATCAAGTATAGGAATTAGCCGTGAACATA